TGGAAATCTGCATCTTCATCCATCACCTGGTCACCAAATACAAGTAGGCCCAAATGAGAAAATGAATTTTCTCCGAAATATGATGCCATCGATCTCTTGAAATTCCCCAGAATCCCTAATGAGCAGCTGCTTTTTCCGTTTTGTTGTGAAAACTCGTTTTCAGGTGGACGCCATTAGAGAAAGATGGTTCAGTTCAGCCCACACTCGTACGGATGCCCAAAAACAAGTACCCAGTTTTTGTCGAGTCCCTGTGAGACTGACTGATCATCGCTCACTCGCAGTTACAGAGGGAACTCAATTGCCAGAGATTATTTTCAGTTAGTTCAGAGTCCTTTCTTTGATGATAATAGTTTGTGATAATAATCATGACGTAAGAAGAGGACGCATGATGCAATAATAACAATGTTTGTGGGGAAAACCAAAGTTGTTAGATACTCAGCCTTTGTATAAAATGACCACTCATGTCATATGTGTAATGAAATGGATCAGTTGTTTTAAGAACTGTGCAGTACTTAAGCGTGTTTAGGAGGAAACAACGTAGACATGAGTGTCCTCTCGAAAAGTTATCATCGTGCATTCAAAAGCAAAACCTTGCAGATAGAACTAAACCGAACAATATATTGTCTAAAAAAGAATTGTGATGTTACACGACTTATCTCGTTTATCACACATGCTCTTTTATAACATGGTTTTGGAGATTCAAACTTCTCGACAATTTTCTAATACATTAGTTTGTAGGTAGCGATGGTAATTTAGGCGTGTCCGTTTTACCAGATCTGTTTAACATGTTTTGGAGCGGGTAATACTTGCACCATAGGCAGCACGGGCATGAGTACTCTCACCGACCTGACTTGCCCTGACTCACCTTGTTTGTGGCGCGTTTTTGCCAAAATTACATATAATATTACTCAAATTACTTAAGATTTTACCTTTGTTACCTCATATTTTAGTCACAAGGAAGTTGTAAATATGTGAGAATCTCGAATTCTCGAATATTTAACTACATTTATCATATTACAGTTTGTTTCTTAATTTTGTGGTAACAAAATTAATATTGTTCGTTTTTTCCTTTTAAGTTACATACATATATGGATCGACCCAAATCCCATAATAAATTATTCGATCTGGATCTGATTACTCCATCGGCACCAACTACATAAGTATCCGAATGTATCATAACCACATTTAAGTAATTGGTACACTCGCTGCACCATCCATATTTTGTTACTCACCAGTCACCACCATGTCCAATCCTTCCTATGTGTATGACGTTCCCATCCCTATTTCTTTCTCATGTGAAACAAGCACCATAGAACCCCTGATCCTAGAGTTTACAATCCTCAAGAGCCCTTCTAAAGCCTTCCACCTCTCTTTCATCAGGGTTATAGTTTTCATTTTTCTCTAGACAGTCCGTAATTTGGTTGAAATCTTTCATCACTATTCATTCATGGCTTGTCAATTCAGTTATGCAACCTGCAGCTTATTAGTCCCCATGATTTTATGCTTGGTTTTGCATTCAGACCATCCATAGATACCTATTAGTCTTCAAGATATAGTATGGTGTGTCCATAAGACTTCACAATTCATATAATTTCCAAGATATAGTGTTGGTAAAAAATGCCTCAATATTTTTTGTTCCAAAAGTATATCAAAGTAGATATTATTTTGAGGAGAATAATTAGTCTGATTTACCTTACTTAAAACGAGAGAGAAATCGTTCGTGAAAGATTAAAGGGGGAAAGATTAAAGGTTTTCCATGAGAAAGAAAGGAGTGTTGATGTGGCGGATTGAGATTGAGTTATGCGTGGTTATTGACCTCAAGATTACTGACCAGATCCGTTCCCGGGCATCTCTCTATCATAGGCCTCTTTCAAAGTCTTTCAGATAATCTCATTTTTTCATGTTCTGTTTATTTATGCGAGTTTTTGTGACGGAGGTCTCGCCGCAGTCATGGTCCATACCTTTTCATGTTCTGTTTATTTCTATAACATTACTCTATCCCTTCTACTAAGGCCATCCTACTTAACCTTTTGCCACATGAAATAGGAACTTGACTAGCTAATGTGTGCTTTCGTTTCATGCCATCACCTAATCAATGAAGAATAGAGAAGTGAGGAAATCACATGATTAAGTGTGGGCCTCTTGAGCCACAATCAATGGTCTATAGCATCGATGATCTAACAATCAATCATACATATTTAATACTACTCAATGGTATAGATGGTTGATAATTCGCTCCATACTTGTGTAGCATCAATAGGGTATCACTAGAGGGTAATTGCTGAACAGCCAGAAGATACTAAGCACAATGCATATAGTAGTATACTATAGAATCACGAGAATCGATGATAAGAAAGTATCTAAACTAGATAAAAATCAATGATCATCACAAGCATCCATACATACATGATAGGCTTCCAAATTTAGAAGCATAAACACAAGCATGATCATGAAATCATAGCATCGATATAGATATATGGCGAGTTTTACGGTATCGAGGGTGAAAGCCGGGGTACCGCATACCTTGAGTATGAAAACGCTATCCAGACCTTCAATTGACTGATCTTTCGGACATGATACTATACTCTAACCCTTGAAGATCAAAATCTAGTTCTTCTTTCTCTAAATCTTATACCCCAAGATCAATTTAATTAGAAACAATAATTGACGGTTATGATTCGTCCAAATATAGGCAAAAAAAACGAGTGCATCATCTTAGGGTTTATAGATAAATGAGTTCACATTCCTACAAAATCAATTTCGAACTAGCTATACATATAAGAGAATGGGGTACTACCATCCGTGATGAAGACATCTCTATTTCCATCCTCGCCTACTAATGCTAAGCTCGCACACCAACAAAGTATTTACAAATTTTTTTAATGGAATTGTGCATAATGCTGAACTAATGAGACTAGCTCCCTGTTTATAGAGGTAAAACTCAGCCAAAATCTTTTTCACCCTACTAGGACATGGTTTCTCGGACTTAATACGAAAGCAAGGCCTTTGGGATCTTTATTTGAGCTTGGACCTATGGGTGGTGGCTGGGATGACCACTAGTTTTCTTCGTGGCTTGAGTTCCTTGGCCCATAAGAAATCTCTCGTGAAGATTTTTCCGTGATTTACCCAGGTTTGCTGAGTAGTGGTTGGACCCAACACTGGGCTGCCACTGATTCTTGCTTCGTCTTGGGTTTGAGTCTTCCTCCATTGGGCTCCTCATGGGCTCTCTATTTGTGACTTACAGTAGGCTTCTCCATCATTGGACCTCGTCTTTTACATGAAAACTCCTTATTCTTCTCTCTTTTGCTCCTTTAGTCATCTAGATTTGTCCAATGCTTGATCTAAATCCTTCTAGATTGTATTTTTACCTTGAAAAGCATAAAAACATGCAAAAATGCATAAAAAGAATAAAATAACACAACCTAGGTCTATTAAATGCTCATAGATCAAATAAATAGAATTTATGTATAAACATATGAGAATATACTGAAGATGCATTAATAGAAGGGGAAAATGAATAAAATAAATGAGTGATAAACCCTATAAATTGAGTGTCGTCAGAAATATCCCACACTTGAACTTTGCTTGTCCCCAAAAGTGAACTTACAAGGTCAACAATAGCACGTGAGACTCCTAGCCACATCAATATGCAAGAACATCAGACACTTTAACCCAAGTATAAAGAATTAACTATGCCTTAGGCCACTCAAATCCCCACAAGCTGAATCTAAAATTAAGACCAAATTGGGACTGGACCGGGTCAAGACTGGACTGGATCAAAACCAGACTGTATCCAATTTAATCTTTGGTCCTTCTATTCCCCAAAAGATCGGATCGGGACCGGATCAATTCGGGCTAATTTAACCGCACAGAACCGTATAGCCACCCTTAATCGGTATGATTGACATGATCGATTTATGGCCTCTACGTAAAATGATGTCGTTTTAGTGAATTTATTTATTAAAAAATTAAATCATCGTTTATTTTATGAGTTTTTATTTGTTGGATTCAAGTATAAATATTTAAGTATTAAAGTCAAATATTGTATTTAAATATAAGTATTGGTAATTCTATTTGCAATGTCCTTTTTATTTAAATATGAATATGAACGGTAAGTAAATTGTTTTCACATATGATTTATATATGATTAAATTTATTTGATGTTAGTGGGTTTCACATTTCTACATATTTTTGTTAAACTGGCATGAATTGACACAAACCAATTGTATCACCGGTAGAACCATTCCACTTAGGGATAACAATGGGTCGGGTCGGGGGCGGATAATGCATATCTGTACCCTACCCAAAGTAGTTCTTGTTTTACCAATACCTATACCCACATAAGAATCGGGTAGAAATCAAAAGCATACCCATACCATGTGGATTTTGGGTATCCACGGTTATTCATGGACAATAATTCTCTTTATAACTCCAACCAACATGTTAACATTCACATGTATACTCACATTACATAAGTGAAAAAGTACAACAATAAATCACTAGAATGAATAAAATTAATTAAAACAACATGATTTTATGAAAACATTATATTTGTATGCTAAATATAAAAAATGTTAAGAAAAATAATAATCATTTCTAGACAAATTACATATGAATGTGCACAATCGATTAGTTCGGATTGGATAGTGTAAAAAGTAATTACCATGCCCACTCATTACCTGCAATATTCAATTTTGGGTTATCGTATCCAATAAAAATGCTTTGTGTTCGATTTTTAACCTACCCGATTATATTAAATTTGTACATATATCCACAATTTCAGATATTTTTGCTCTAGCTATTTCCACTTTATAAACGAGAGAGAGGGATGGGATGGACCAAATGGGAACCGGCCCAAGTTCACAAGCAAACTGCTAGATCCATTCAGGTAGATCCAAGTGTCAGAAACAAACCATAAATACTCTTCTCCCTCAAAGGAGTCCGCTCCGATTTCCCGCTCAAGCTCTCCCACTCAAGCTCGCTGCTGGACCTCCCCGAATCTATCTGCCTCAGAATTCTTGCTCGCTGCTCGCCTGTTCGACCTCCTCGAATCTATCTGCCTCAGAATTCTTGCTCTCCTGAACCATACCAGGTGAGCAACGAAACTTATGCTTCTGTACCGTTTCTTCCCGTCGATTCTCTCTTAGTTTAGTTCTAAACCTTAGAGAAATTCTTCCATGAGTTTTGGTATTCCTGGTTCCTGCAAAAATTTCCCCGTCGAATGCTTTAGTTTCCTATTTCGTTTGTATTCAATTCGGTAGGATAGTGGAGATGGTGAGTTCTTGATCATCCTTCCTGCCGATCTCCTCAACCCCGAGGAATCGTATGGTGAGTTCTTGATCATCCTTCCCGCCGATCTCCTCAACCCTGACGAATCGTCCAACGGGTTTCCTATTTAGGTTTCTTTCTTCGTTGTTTTCCAGTTAGGTTTACGTTTCTGCTGGTAATTCATTTGCTTCTTGCCCCTGAATCAGAATGGATTGCTTGATTTGATTTCCTATATAGATTTCTTTCTCTGTTCTTCTTGATTTAGGGTTATCTTTCTGCGGTTAATTCACTTGCTTCCTGCCTCTGGATAGAATGGAGGACACCGATGATTGGGTTGATCCAATTGTGGATCGGACACTCCTGCTCGTTGGGGAATCTGGGAGCGGCAAGAGCTCTCTCGGTAACAGAATTCTCGGTCAAGAGTCTTTCGCCTACAAGAATCAGTACGGGTCGGTCACCACATGTTGCGAAATCAAGGAAGCATATCTGTCAGATACCCTTCGATGCCAGATAATTGACACCCCTGGTGTTGTTTCTGGAGAGGATGATGCGCTAAAAGAGATTGGAACGGCCTGCTTTCAGGTCAAACGTGGTGTACATGCGGTTCTTCTGGTTATGTCCGTGCGAAAGAGATTGGAGGAGACAGGCATAGTTGATATGCTAGCGAGGTTGTTTGGACCGAAGATAATGGAGTATGTAATTGTGGTGTTCACGGGAGGAGATCTGTTGGAAAAAGAGGGTCGAAGTTTGGATGACTATCTCGGACGGGATTCTACTGAACTACAGAAAATTCTCACACTCTGTGGTGGTCGAAAGGTGCTCTTCGACAATAAGACTGCCGATAAGGTTAAGCAATGTTTCCAAGTGCGGCAGCTTCTTGGTGTGGTTAGCAGACTAGAGGTGCAGCCTTACACGTTCAGCACGCTGTTTGATGAACTCCAGTTGCAGGTATGCTCCTTAATTATAATTTGAATGAACCATCTGCAGCTACCCTCTATAGTGTGGAACTTCATATTTTTATATTGGGAATTGCAGAATCGCAGTCTGACCGTAGGAGACTTGTCCCCTGAAACAGTAAATCTCTCTTTATCTCATTTCCTTCCCGTGTTGCCCATCTGTTTTCTTTCTATACAAAGCTAATCTAATCTATGTTTGGTTGTTGCCGTCTTTCAATACAAAGCTAATCATTTTATAATTCTTGCTGGTTGCAGGAAAAGGTGAATGCTCTGATGGATCAAGCATATCAGGGGGATACCTCTTGCTTTAAGGAACCAAACAATGAGAGCATGACCGCAATGGTACTAGTTTACTACTGCTGCTTCTTATGCTCACTTACTCGATCAAAACTCCCACATATTTTTGTGAATCGTGTCATGCAGGTGGACCTACAAGATACTATGGTGATGTTTGAGAAGGAAATAATGAATGAAGTTGAAGCACGGAAGAAGCTGCAATTTGAAATACAAAAATCAATAGCAGAAACGAATGAAGCTGTGCGTCTACTGCATCTCAAGGTTGACACAGTTGTTGATGAAATCAAGGAGATTCGGAGGAAGAGCGCGAAGCAAGGTTGTCGATTTATGTGAAGCCAAGGACAGCCAGAATGGAGCTACTAAGCTTTTGCTGATCTGTTTTCTATTTGAGCACATGTAGTGACATTTGAGGACAATGTCTGTTTTGATCTATCTTTTGCAGCCATGCATGGCTATGAGACATCTCATTACATGATTGATTACATGTGTTCACCTATGACACTTGTCTTTGCCTTGTGTTCACCCTCATCTACTGCTTTTTTTACAAATACAGTTCACCCTCCCATTATCTTTTATTATTAACCGTTTCACATTTCTTTTAGGTTTTATGTATTGAAACCAAAGTTGTCAAACCAATTCATACAGTTATTCCGGTTTAGTGGAATGGTACGACAAGTGATACAAATCGGTATGTGTGCCAGTTCATACCAGTTTAATAAAATACGACATTTCAAGAAAAATAATAAATACTCATATTTAAATACAACATCTAATGTAATATCTAAACGTTTGTACTTAATCTAACAAAGTACATATACTGTTAACTTTTATATTCATAAAATATTTTATAAACTTATTTTTTTATCAATTAAATTTACTAAATGACATCATTTTACTTAGGGGTCGTTTGGAGGTTGGGATTTCAAGCGATGAATTTATCCAATGCATGTAATGTCAAGATTAAGTCATTTTTTTGGTTAAATTTGTGACTGAAAATGTGTATTACCTTTTTCTAGGCCCAACTACAATCACTCAAAATGAGTGATTGTCAATCTCTACCAAAAGTTGAGATTGTGACCAAAGGATTGTCTACCATCTACATTTTTATTTATAACAAAGCATAATCTAAACCTCCAAACAATGTATTTTTCAAATTCATACATTTCACCAATACATCAAATTACAATAGACAAATTGATTAAATACTTCAATTTGGAGAATCCCAACCTCCAACCAACCCCTTAGAGTTCGTAAATTGATCATATCAGTGATGTATACGTCGATTTTATAACCGACACTGGTTGAACCAAGTTCAATCGACCGGCATCCCACCGGCATGACAACTATGATTGAAACTTTCCATTATTAAGATGGGACTCGGTTTTCTATGGTTACATATTTTAATATGTTGGTAGTGTCGCAACTGTCCCTTCGGGATTCGGGTGGCGTTCGCTTTTTGGAGTCGCTATCGATCTTACTTGGAGTGAATCGAACACTGTTCGGTCTGCTCTAACCTACGTTTAGTATAATTTTAATCTTGTTGTGTTTTATTAAGGTTGTGCCAACAGAAAAGCAACACAACACCAACACAACTTAAATCAACAACGTGTTTATCTAAAAAAATTCACAAATTTCGGAACACCAAAAACCCATACAAAACATGTTTACTTATGTTCTTCTCCTTCGATTTCAGGAAAAAAAAAACAGATCTGGGAAATCTGGTTCGTCCTCGCCGCTGCCTCCCAACAGCCCGACGCCGACGATTTGCCGGAGAAGAAGATCGGAAAAGAGAGGGAAGTCGCTGCCGCCTCCTTCCAACAACCCGACAATGCCGCCGCCTTGACTCGCCGGAGACAGATTCTTTTTGCGCAACGCCACTTTCCAGAGAAGAAGATAAGAAAAGGAAAGGAAAGTTTCCTCTCGACCCTGCTCCTGTCCCAATAGTTCGACGCCGCCGCTTCCCTGTCCGCCTGGAGAAGCAGATGATCTGGTGGAGAACGGGAGAAGAAGATGGAGAGCAGGAGATGATTTTGGGGAAGTTACAGAGACAGGGATGGGTGTGGGGGAATGGGGAAAGTGACGGAGAAAGAGAAAAAAAATAATAAAAAAATAAATGGCTTAAGTGAAAAGAAAATCCCGTACGCAACCATGAGATAAAACAGCCACGAAGCAATCTTTTATTGTTTTGCTGATTTGGGCTTGGTTTTTAAAACCTGTTGCATTAAAGTCCACAACAAAAATAAAAAACCCAACTAAACATGTTTTCTTTTCTTGGTTTCTACAATTCTTAAAATCACAACAGGAAACAAAAACACACAACAATACTAAACAGGGCCTAAGAGTAAGAACCGAGGCTGGGTCTGTGATATTGAAATCTAGGTTCGGGAGTACAGTTACGTGTGGGGAAGTGTCTCAACACCCACACAACGCCCTAAATCGGTACTACTTAACCTGATAAGTTTATATACGAGTCGGGTGTATTTTTAGTAATAAATTTGTATTTTTAGTAATAAATTTGTATTTTTAGGGTCCCACTGGACCATTAAATAATTTTATCTTATTAGTTTACGATTTATTATACGCCCATTGACGAACAATTTAAAGATAAAGTTTGTTGATTAGTTGGGCTCGAACCTTATAGGTTGCCTACGTACCCGTAACACACGATCAAAGTCCATGTAGTTCGCCGAAACTTTGATAATTTTAAATATAACTTTTACCACATTCCACTGATCGTGATTCTTGTATCAAAGATTTTGTTAATAAAATTTAAATAGATTATTTTTAAGTTGTGAAAAGATAACATAAAGATTTCATTTATTAGGAAGAAATTTGATGTATTAGAAAAAGAAACAGGATTAATCTAATCCGCATTCAAAATTTCGTATTAAGGATACTAAATAATAAAATGGAATGGAATGATTAAATTTACGCATGATGGGCTAGCAGCCCAACTGGCTAAATTGTTGGACCCAATTTTGCACGAAAGGTAGAAGGTAGCGGGATCGATACCCTCTACCTTTGTCTATAATATTCGTTTTTCAACACCCAGGAGGGGCATTTTTGTACTTTCTCAAAAACGCTGTGGCAATGGCAAGGTGTATACGGAAAACTCTAGGGGGTCGTTTGGATTAGAGTTTTCTGTGAGGGATTTTGGCACAATCTCTCATGATGAGAGATTTTAATAAAATTACTCGTTTGGATAATACTTAAACAATGAGAGATTTTAAACATCAGAGATTTCAAAAACCTTTAAAGGAGGGTTTTCCAAATAGCTGATGACCATCAACTATTTATAATTCCTCATCTTTTATTAATTTTTTCCAATGTGTGCCCTCCATTCCAATTCATCCCACAACCCTCCTTCCAACCTACAACGATGACGGCAAGAGTGCAAGGATGGCGAGCTTCTTCCCGATCTGGCCGGCCTCCTGCCACGACTCCATCTTCGATTTCATGCTCCCGCCGCCGCCGATTGCAAGGTCTTCCGAAGCCCAACCGCCATCAATTTGAAGAAACCCAAACCCCTAATATCCAATCGAAGATGATGGGAGGGTAAGGAAAGAACATGAATCAATCGGCTAGAACCCCGGGAATGAGTGAGATTTTAGATAGAGGAAGTAGCCGCCGGGAGAGAGATAAAGCCCAGACCGTCCGCGACAGCGATGGGGAGGCAGGCGAGGTTGCCGTCGCCGTCTTATTTAATCGACTCTGGATTTTGGCGATTGAAGGACAGGTCCACCCATGGGAGGAGATGAATCGTCCGGAAGGACAACTATGAAGAGCTGGCGGTGAATTAATATGGCCTGGAGCAGATGAATTGTCCGACCTCATACGCTGGTGGAGAAAGGAGATCGAAGGTGGAGGAGGGAGAAGACAAGGCTAAATTAGTCTTTGTACAATTATTATTCAAATCCCTCCTAATTTCTGATCTCTAACCAAACAAGTAAATTAGGTCAAATAACTCATTTAAATTTCCTAGGTTTTTAAACAAGAGATTTGGACCACAATCTCTCATATTAAAATTCTTAATCCAAGCAACCCCTAGGGGTAATTTAGTCGTTTTAACAAATCAAGTATATAAACGTCTCTAAGAAACCCTCATCCATTCTACACAAACCAAACGAAGGCCGCTTTCTCTCTCTCCGCTCTTCTCGTTCCCACTTCTCTAAACTGAGAACGAACTACGAAACCAAATTTTTTTTTGAAGAACAGTCGCCCTCTCCCTCTCTCGATTCTCTATTCCCATCTCCTATTTCCAAAAAACGAATCCCTAACTCTCTCCTCTACTCCGCCGTCTTCTCCTTCTCTCGGTCCTTCTGTTTCTCGCCTCTGCTTCCAGAAAACAAAATCCCAAAACTCAATACAAACCGCCTATGACCATAACAACGACGATGGCGAGTAAAGACGAACTAAATCGACCAGGTACATGTCGATCCAGATGAAGTTTTTGCTTGCATGTTATTTTCTTTCGCTTTATTTGTTGATTTTGAGGAGTTTTAGGGTTCTAATCGCTTTTGATTTGTGCTTTTTGTGGGGGAGAGGGAGGCTTTGGATCTGGATTGGCAGAAAGAAAATCACCGCTGCCAGCATAGACGGCGATGACCGGGGAGAAAGCACGTTAGAGGCAGAATTACAAATCCGTCGGTGATGGTGAGTGAATCCTAGGCACGTTTCATGAGTTGCATGTTCCGATTTCTGGATTGTTGGAGTGGCTAAGGTTCTTACCTTGTTTTGATTTTTGGGTTTTTTTAATTTTTGGCTTCGAATATGTTTCTAGGGCAACTGAGAGTCGTCGTCGACGAAGGTATTATAAGCCGGTAGTGACAGAAAATCGACCGCCGAAGGCTCATAGGCAGCCTGGGTAAGTTTGTTTTCTGAGTTGTCTTTTTTTGTGTTTTTAAATTTGAAGGATTCTGACTATCTATCCTGACTTATTACAAGTTTAAGAGCAGACTCTAGGTGAGGTCTCCTATAACTTTCTTAATTTGGGATTGAAATATTTAAAACTAAAAGGCGAATTATATTGCGATAGATCTAAATGATTTGCAAGTTTGAGAACTAGGAAATAAGGTTGTGAATGATTTTGACTGTCAGGAATTTTGGTGTTTTTATGGATGGTTTCAGATGTAGCTTTTGGTTATGCTGGAAATTGCTAAAAAAAAAGGAAAATTGGCTAATGCTTGGAATTTTGGTGTTTTTTATGGATGGTTTTAGATGTAGCTTTTGATATATTACATATTGTCAAAAATGATTTTTCTGTAATGAAGATGTAATTAACATCTCTAAGTTGCTTATCTTGGCGATTATAAATCACTGCCACTTTTAGTGATTTTGCTAGACTCCACTTCACTGCGAAAACCAAGCTGCATTGCACATCTCGGCCAACCCAGTGTTCCATGAACGTACTAAGCATGTGGAAATTGATTGCTACTTCGTTCGGGAGCGCGTACAATCCAGTGAGATAGCTCCTCAGAAGATAGCAACTCAACACCAGGTGGTTGATATATTTACTAAGGGCTTAGGCGCTTATCAGTTCTCTTATCTCTCGTCCAAGCTCGGCCTTCATGACTTTCATGCCTCCGCTTGAGGGGGAGTGTAATGAGACAAGAAGCCCATGTGCATGCCCATGCATCTAATTGGGCTTGTTAGTCCTGTTTATGTTAAGCCTAACCCTAGGTTATGTGTAGAAGGGTTATGGCATATATATGGGGAGTTCTACGGTACCCATGGTGAAATTCGGGGTACCGCATACCTTGAGTAAGAAAATGCTATCTAGAACTTGAATTGACTGAGCTTTCGGACATGATACTATACTCTAACCCTTAAAGATCAAAATCTAGGTCTTAATTCTCTAAATCTTATACCCCAAGATCAATTTAATTAGAAACAATAATCGACGGTTATGATTCGTCCAAATATAGCCAACAAAAATCAATGCACCATCTTAGAGTTTATAGTTTATGATTTAGATAATTAGGACCTAAGATTCACTCATTAAGGGTTAACGTATAGTATCATGTCCAAAAATCCTGCTAATTCGAGGTTTAGATAGCGTTTTCATACTCAAGGTATGCGATACCCCGGATTTCACCCGGGGTACCATAAAAGGCACCATATATATACATATATATATATATATAGGGAGTTCTACGGTACCCAGGGTGAAATCCGGGGTACCGCATACCTTGTGTAAGAAAACGCTATCCAGAACTTGAATTGACTGATCTTTCGGACATGATACTATACTCGAACCCTTAAAGATCAAAATCTTTGTCTTAATTCTCTAAATCTTATACCCCAATATCAATTTAATTAGAAACAATAATCGACGGTTATGATTCGTCCAAATATAGGCAAAAAATCAACGCACCATCTTAGGATTAATAGTTTATGATTTAGATAATTAGGACCTAGGGTTCACTCATTAAGGGTTAGGGTATAGTATCATGCCCAAAAATTCTGTTAATTTGAGGTCTAGATAGCGTTTTCATACTCAAGGTATGTGGTACCCCAGATTTCACCCGGGGTACCGTAGAAGTCACCATATATATATATATATATATATATATATATATATATGGTGACTTCTACGGTACCCCGGGCAAAAGCCGGGTACGGGTACCTTGGCCGATCTTCACCGTTCGCTTTCAATCTCCACGGCTCACGTTTGTTAAACCTAACTGCGCCACTAAATAACTAAACAAATTACAAAAAGCCTCCTCCGCGTTAAGTTTGTTTTCATCCTAGTCCAACTAACTGCCCCGTTTAAATTAAATGGATTAAGACCAAAACCCAATTGGGTAGACCCCCGTCCAAACCAATTTCCAGTCTCCCTAACCAATTACACGATCCCTCTCTCGTCTTGGAGGGACGCCCCTTCACAGTTCCAAGAGAAGCTCCCCATCCACATTCGACGTAGATTGAATTTCCCAAAAATAATT